GCGCGGACCCTGGCGGCCAAGGGGGGGTGGGTGGACATCCAGCGCGAGGGCGCACTGCGCTTCATGGTGGCAGATGATGCGGCCTCGGGCCCTGGGGGCACTGCACAGTGGCAGAAGTGTCGCCTGCTTCTGAGAAGGGCTGTGGCTGGGGAGCGCTTCCGCCTGGAGTTCTTCGTGCCACCCAAGGTTCGTATCTTGGTGCATGTCACCATCACTCATGGGGACCCAGTCCCCTGCACAGCCTAAGGGATCTGCAGGTCTGTGGCAGGTGGGTGCCTGGGACTGATCTGGGGATTGTGTGGCCTGGTCTGATTGACACAGGTTTTGTCACAGGGGGCACCCCCAGAGACAAAATGCATCATATGAAGGTGGGGATTAACAAGGTGCACTCAGATATGTTTCCCAGAGGCCTGTGTCCTGGTCCATGGCAATCATACATCTGCTGTCCCTGCCAGGCTCCAGCTGAGCCCTGCCAGGTGGCCACTTCCTCCCATCAGGAGAAACAGAGGGTCTTTGCCTGCTACTATCTTTTCATGCCACTTTGAGTCCACGGGCCCGCCCCATTGGTCACCAAAGCCCTCCCATGATCTGCTTCAGGGGAAAAAATTAACTTGCTTGAAAAGTAGGGGTTCTGGGGGGTGTAGCTCAGTAGGTAGAGTGCTTGCCTGGCACTCACAAAGCCAGAGTTCCAGCCCCAACACCCCGTAATCCCTGAGTGGTAGTGTCCTTGGAAACAGGAGGATCAGAAGTTCAAGGTTATTCTTGGCTACATAGCAAGTTAGAAGCTAGCCTGGGCTGCATGAGACTATCTGGGAAGAAGGGAACAGAGTTGATACTTAGAAGAGGGGTATGGCCTACCTGTAGTCATAGTGGGTGGCAGAAGCAGACTGATTGTACATCACCATTCAGATGGTCACCAGAATGAAGGGAGGGGTGGAGTCTCTTGGCAGCTGGTCCCCCACCCAGACCTGACCACCCCAGGGCTCAGTCTCCCCAGTGCCCTCCTGGACACCTTGAGTCAATGCACTGGAGGCTTCCCCTCCCAGCCTCCCCTCAAGGTGCCAAAGCAAGAGCTGCCCAAAGCAAGATGCTGCAGGGACTCCCAGAGCACAGTGGTGACCAGCACTCACCTAACTCCCAGTATCCCCAGGGGATACTTTCCCAAGGGGGTTTTACCCATACCCACCTTCAGCCCCTGAGAAAAATGCCACTAAACTCGAACCTACAGACAGAGATACCAAAGCCTGGTGATGGGGTGGCTTTCCCAGGGTCACCCAAAGGGCAGGAGCAGAGGCCCAAGGTTTCACTGTGTCCTGCTGTGATTGGCAGCCCCAGCTGCTGCTCTCTAAATAGCTGTCCCCATTGCCTGGGGGAGAGGACACTCCCATCTTTCCTTTGATCCCCACAGAGCCCTCCGATCTTACTGCTGGCAGAAGGAAGTGTTCCTGAGGGGTCGCTGAGCCCTTCCTTCCTCAACTCAATGACTACAACAGGTTCCTAGCCCCTGATCTTGCTTCAGACTTTCAGGATATCAGAGCATAGTAGAATACTCGGGAGTGATCCGTGGATGTGTGGATCATTCTAGAGTGTATTAGTCCATTTTCTGTCTCTGTAACAAAATACCAGAGGATAGATAGTATATTAAAAAGGAAGAAAGGAAGAGAGGGAGGGAGGAAGGAAGGAAGGAAGGAAGGAAGGAAGGAAGGAAGGAAGGAAGGAAGGAATTGGGCATGGTAACTGCCTATGATCCAAGTAGAGGCAGGTGGATCAGGAGTTCAATGTCATCCTTGGCTACATAGCAAGTTCAAGGCCTGTCTGAGCTACATTATCTCAAACAAAAAGGGAAGAGAGAGAAAGAGAGAGAGGGAGAGAGAGAGAGAGAGAGATCAGTTTAACAGGGTTTTAGAAGCTGCATGTCCAAGATCAGGAAGCCCCATCCTTCTACCTTCTACAGAGCTACTTCTACCTTCATCCTTCTACAGAGCTACTTCCAAGACTGGCTCCAAAGCTACACAGAGAAACCCTGTCCAAAAACAAACAAACAAACAAACAAACAAACAAACAAAAACTGAAGGGAAAAAGGAAAAGAAAAGAACAAACAGAAAAGAAAATAGGGAGAAGCAGGTAAAACTGGGGTGTGACTCAGTGGTAGAGCCCCTGCCTAGAATCCCCCCAGTGAGGGGCTGCCTGGGGGAGTGGCTCAGTGGTAGATCTCCTGCCTAGAATCCCCCAGTGAGGGGCTGCCTGGGGGAGTGGCTCAGTGGTAGATCTCCTGCCTAGAATCCCCCAGTGAGGGGCTGCCTGGGGGAGTGGCTCAGTGGTAGATCTCCTGCCTAGAATCCCCCAGTGAGGGGCTGCCTGGGGGAGTGGCTCAGTGGTAGATCTCCTGCCTAGAATCCCCCAGTGAGGGGCTGCCTGGGGGAGTGGCTCAGTGGTAGATCTCCTGCCTAGAATCCCCCAGTGAGGGGCTGCCTGGGGGAGTGGCTCAGTGGTAGATCTCCTGCCTAGAATCCCCCAGTGAGGGGCTGCCTGGGGGAGTGGCTCAGTGGTAGATCTCCTGCCTAGAATCCCCCAGTGAGGGGCTGCCTGGGGGAGTGGCTCAGTGGTAGATCTCCTGCCTAGAATCCCCCAGTGAGGGGCTAGCTGGGGGTGTGGCTCAGTGGTAGAGCCCCTGCCTAGAATCCCCCAGTGAGGGGCACAGATATAAGTCAGTGTTAGAGTCCTTGCCTAGTAAACATGAGATTCTACCCCAGCACTGGGGGCAAGGGGCAACTACAACTACATCAAGACAGATGGCCTCAGACATCAAGCTGAGAGGAGGGTTACAGGAACACAGCACCTCCAGCCAGAGGGAGCCCTGCTGAAGGCACCATTATAACTCTTCCCATGCTCTCTTCCCCAGGTGGCCAACCCCAGCCATAGGCTGGTGTGAAGAGGCAATAAGCTAAGCCCATCAGTCACTGCTAGAAGCCCAGCCCAGGGCCCGCTGGACAGTGTCCAGAGTGGCCAAGCATTCCTATGCACCAGATATGAGGCCCTTCCCTTTCCTCTTCAGAAAGTCCCTGTCCCAGAGCCCAAGTCCTGCCGGGAATGTCAGCCTCAGGCAAGTCCAAGGAGGTGCAGGGGCACAGGCCCGAGCTGTGGAGCAGAGCACAAAGGGGCCTGCTCAGAGCAACCCTCCTAAGGATCCCTGCTAACTCCCTGGTTTAAACCTGTGATGGCAGCATTGGCATGCTAGTTCCCTTCTCCCCATGCCTGGAGACAGGCCACACCCAGCTCCAGAGCCCCATTTTGAGATGAGATCTGTGCTCCAGAACATCTCATCCAAAGCAGGAAACCACCTTATTCTGGGAGCCATGCCCACCCCACCCCTAACCCCTCACTGGGGGATTCTAGGCAGGTGCTCTACCACTGAGCCACACCCCAGCCTCTCACTGGAGGTCATTTGATACAGTATCTCACATAACCCAAGCTGGCCTGGATTCACAGTGTAGGTTTCTGTGCTGTGATTTATATACTGAATGCAAGCCAGTCAGAGCTATATATGAGACCCTGCCTCAAAAAGAAAATTAAATAAATAATTTTTAATGCCAAATGCAGTGCTCCACATGTACAACCCCAAAACTCAGGAAACTCAGGAAGGATTGCCCAAGCTCAAGCCAACCAGGGCTTCATAGTGGGTACTA